CAGAAGAAGATAATATATCACATCGATAATGAATAATAAATTTCACACCCAAATTTCAAAACCGCAGTTGATCCAAATTCTGAATTTTTTTTATACAAGACTTTAGATTACATTAATTTAAAAACGTGATTTGAAAAGTGGAGCCGAAAACCAGAAAGTGGAAAAATGCAGGAATAATCACGTTTTTTCTTTTTATATCAGTGAAACTGCAATTCTGATTGTTTTGTGTTACTCCGGGAGTGGAAAATAAGCTTATATAAATTTAAAATATTTACTTAGAATTCACTTTTTTCACTTTTTTTTCCTGGATGTTATGATTATCTGTGTATGTTTTATCTATTAAGTAGTATTAGTATATGCTCTCAAGTACTAACGTAATAATACTATACTTCCAGGAAATGGCTAGCGCCATTTCTATAGAAGTTATTACATTAGTACTTGAGAGTATGAGGAAAGCATAGCTTTCCTCAAAGGATCAAGATTAGTTTGGCCTTAGGCCAAACTAATCAAAAAATCTATAATAATTGATAATTACAAATTAATTATTAAATTTACTTGTGAAAAATAGAAAATCGAGAAATGTTTATTAAAAAATATCAGAAAATTATTAATTAAAAAAAATATAAATATGAACAATTGAATAAATAAATTTAATAAAGATAAATCAAGATATTAAAAAAATCGAAATTGAAGCAGAACAACTTCTTAATGAATTTAACAATTTGTTTATTCAAAATCATCAAGATAGAAATAAATTACCAGAAAATGAAAAAAAAATAGTTGAAAAGAAACAGAGATTTCATACTTCGATGTTTAAATTCACGTGTTGATAAACTATCAGGAATTTTTGCTTATTGGGCAGCGTATTATTTAGAACACGGTTATGGTATTGAATATACTGATAATAATGAAAAACAAAAGGATAAAAAAAGAAGTATTGAATTGTATAAAAATGCTGCTGATAGATTACATCCCAATTCCGCAACTCGTTATGCGGTATACCTAATGTCTAATTTTAAGAAAAATGATGAGGAAGAAACAAAGAATAAACATAAACAAGATGTTCTTCATTATCTTCATATAGCAGCCGACCGAGGATATTCCGATGGTTACTATTATCTGGGTAATATTCTTTGTTATAGTAAGCTTGAAACTAAAAAAGAAATAGGATTGGGAAAAGCATATTTACTGTAGAAGCTGCTATCAGATTAGGTAACGAAAAAGCAAATAATAAATTAATTAGATATATTAAAGAATTGTATAAAAACCGCGCAGCTCAATTAGAAAAAGAAAATGATGATTTAAAAGATCAGATTCAGAAGTTGAAAAATGAATTGGAGAAATAAAAAATATTTTTATTTCTTTCAAATAAATTACATTTAATTTAAATTTATATAAAATGAAATTCAAATATCAAAATCGGGATTTTCAAATTTAAATTTTTATTATAAATAAATATCAATATAATTAATTAAAATCATCAAATACAGGTTTTTCTAAATAAAAATTTAAAAAATCTTCATTGGTATCTTCATTTTTCTGTTTACTGAATAAAACTTTAGTTATTTCGTGATATCTCAAACCACTATCTTTATCATAATGATTACATATCTGATATATATCTTTTTCGTTTTCTGTTTTTATATATTTAACATCTCATTCTTGATATTGTTTTCCTATTTTATTTTCTTCTTTTAAATCTAGGTGTATACCAAGAATATTTCTTCTACTTTTATCCAGTACAAAGAAGGTTCTATAATGATATATTCTTCTATCAAAATAATTAACTAAAAATAACGCATCTAATTTATTAATTTCAGATTCAGTTTTAAACAATAATTTATTTAAAAATTTGTTTTCAACTGGAACTAAATATTCATTATTGTTATTTTTAATAAAGTACAAATTTTCTACTAAATTTATTCGTAATTTTGCATGCGTAACAGATTCGCCATTTTGATTTTTTAGTCTAAAAATCATTTTTCCATATTTAAAAATTTCTTGAGAATTTAGTTTCAGAGGTAATAGATGAAAATGAAAATAATAAAATCCAAGATTTTTTCTAAAATAATATCCTGTTTCTGTCTCATCAACTTTTTTTAAAATTCTATTATATGCTTCACAATATTCTAGTTTTGTTTTTGGATCATTTTTATTCCAATTTAAAAAAAGAGAAACAATAGTGTCTTCCTTTATCCCATCAAGAAATGATATAGTAATCATTCTATTATCAATATACAAATTATAATTAATTTGACCAAAAAAACTAGAACCAATTAAAATTATTTGTTGCCAAAAATCTTGTAGATCCTTCTCGAATTCTTCTAAAGTTTTGGTATTCTTATAGAGAACGAATATTAAACATTCATTTTTGAAATCAAATTTATCTTTATCAAATCCTTCAACTGTTCTTCTTGATTGATGTTGTAAACTTTTAACCTTTTCTTCCAATACATCAAATAAATATTTATCATCTTCAGCAACTTTTTTCTTTTTAACCAATCAAAATATTCTTCAACTAATAGATTTGTTGCATTTCTTCCTGTATCACATAAAATTGTTATCCAATCAGATTGTTACCTCCAGTAGCAATGTATATAGCATCCGCAGCACCAAATTGGAAGGTATGTAAGCCTGCTCTAGCAATTTCTTTTGAATTTCCATGATACATATGCCAAAACATATGTGAAACAGCAACAAGAGTATCGACAAATAGAATAAGATCAACAACACAGTGACCTTTTTCAAAAAAATATTCAATACTATCTTTACTCATTTTTTATTTTTTTTTATTTTTAGTTGTTACTTTTACAAAATTGAGCTATATTTATAAATTTTAATCAATATTGGAAAAAGTATTTAAGGGCACTCTGTTCGTTTCAAAAAAAAAATAAAAAAAATAATTTTTGTTAAACAAAAATGTCTAAAAAACCTCTCCTAAACTTTCTTATGAAAATACTGAAGTAACTGTATTTTCGAATCAAGATTATCCTGACAATGTTAATCGAATCAAAAGAGTAAATGAATTAGAGGATGATATAAAATCATATAATAATGAAATTGTATAAAAAAATGAAAAACTCGACTTAACTGTTAAAATTTAATGTCGAAATTAATTTTACCGTATTAAAAGCAGAAGAAAAAGTATTAATTTATGAAATTGAAAATTATTTTGTATATTCTAAAATTATAGAATGGATTT